TGTAGCTGGTTGTGCCAATGTATCAGAATTTCTCAAGAAAGCAGATTGGTCTAGACTATCAGAAGTGGAGAAAATGAAAGCAGCAATAACCACGCAAGACTTGGCTACAATTATTTATACGTCAGGTACTACAGGGAATCCTAAGGGAGTTATGCTCTCACATAGAAATATTATATTTAATGTAGAGGAAGTTTCTCCTCATTTACCAGTCGAGAGTCATCATAAGGTTCTGAGCTTTCTCCCACTATGTCATATTTTCGAAAGAGTAGTCACCTATTTCTATTTTTATAAAGGCGTAGAAGTCTATTATGCAGAGAGTATAGATAGTCTAAAGGAAAATATTGCAGAAGTTAAGCCCCACTTCATGACCTGTGTCCCACGCTTAATGGAAAAGATTTATGATGGAATATTAGCAAAAGGACAAGATTTGAAGGGCATAAGTAAGCTATTGTTTAATTGGGGAATACAATTAGCACAGAAAGAAAATGCTAAATCTAGTCCATTTTATGGGTTCCTAAATAAAGTCATATTTAGTAAATTTAGACTAGCTCTCGGGGGAAATATAGTAGGCATAGTGACAGGGGCTGCGGCACTTCAACCTAGGATTGGCATTTTCTTTAACAATGTAGGAATTACAGTGAGAGAGGGATATGGCATGACAGAAACGGCACCGGTTATCTCATTTAATAGATTTGGTGAGGGAGATAATAGACCTGGGACGGTAGGAATGATATTAGATAATGTCAAAGTAAAGCTAGAGCATAGAGAAGGCATGGGTGAAGGTGAAGGTGAAATACTGGTACAAGGAGATAATGTCATGATGGGTTATTACAATAATCCCGAAGCTACAGAGGCTACAATCAAAGATGGCTGGCTCTATACAGGAGATGTAGGGAAATTGGAGGATAATAAATTTTTAAAAATAACAGATAGAGTCAAAGAACTTTTTAAGACTAGTGGAGGTAAGTATGTAGCTCCGCAACATATCGAAAATACATTGAAGGAAAGCAAGTACATAGAGCAGATTATAGCCATAGGCAATAATAGGAAATTTGTATCCGCACTCATCTTCCCATCTCAGTTAAATCTTAAGAGCTGGGCAGAGTTCAAAGGTTATGATATTGACTTCAACGATTCTAATTGGGTAACAAATGAACTCATTCAAGAAAAAATAAAAAGAGTGATTGACCGATATAATGTACAGTTCAATCACGTAGAGCAAATTAAGAAATTCATTCTTGTAAACAAAGAGTGGACAATAGATGGCGGCGAATTGACGCCTACATTAAAGTTGAAAAGAAAGGTTATAGAAGAAAAAAATGTCGAAAACATTGAATCATTATATAAAGATTAAATTCCTCAATGTATTAAATACTATAAATTTGCTTTTAGAATTAAACAAAATATGAGAAAAATTATATCAGGGTTACTTGTTTTTACAGTAATGCAAGCTAACGCTCAAGTGCATACTCTTAAAGAATCTATTCATTTTGGGTTAGGTAAAACCTCGTTAAATAAAAGTCATAAGAATAAATTAGATTCTATTGTAATTTTATTGAAAACAAGTAAATCATATATTGGTGAAATAAAAGGATACACTTGTAATATTGGTTCTGTGAGAATTAATAAAGTGATTTCTAATCTCCGAGCGATAAATGTATTGAACTATTTAGTAGATAGAGGCGCGAATAAATCAAGTTTTACTTATTCTGGTTTGGGATCAAATAATCCACTAGGCAATAATAAAACCAATCAAGGTAGAGCTCAAAACAGAAGAACTGATATTGAAGTTGTACTGAGTCTTTTTGACGAGGTGGTTAATTTTTCAGAAGGTGGAAAGGAGAATTCTTCATCTGAAACCAAGACAGGTGAGATATCAAATAAAGGAAAAGAG